CCCCAAAACCCCAAAACCCCAAAACCCCAAAACCCCTTAAATTTCAGCCAAAATTGAAATTAATAAAATTAGTAAGTTTTAAGGATCTGTGCTGAAAATTAATAACTTAGCTAACACGGCTGATTGTCAGATTTTTAAGAATGGACTCTCGCTTGGTAGTACATTGACACTTACCACTAAAGATAGGAGATTTATCTTACTGATTATGATTTTGAAATGCAAAATAAGTCTTTTTCTTCACCTTTTTATTCTTTAGAGCGGTCTTTATGACAGTCTTTCCAAATCTATCGAAAATGACTTTGTGGTAATTTTGAGACCTAGTGGGAGACCTGAACATGAAGTTTGCAGGAGCCACTGATATTTTGGCAACTGGAAGTGTGGCAACACTATTTTTGCCTTATGGAACTAAGAGAGCTAGTCTTGAATATTTTGTTCCTGCTTCCTTTTTGTATTGTCTAAGATAAAAATTAGCATATATTTAAAGTGAACAACAATTTTGCTACCTTTATCCTCTTTTTACTTGATGTAAACAAATCTTCAAGTGGTTGAGTGAATAATCTATCTTTGATCTTTGGCTCTGGGCTATTAATTCTTTTCAAAGCAGTTGAATAATCTTCTATTCATAACTGTCTATAAAATATAGTCTTAGGATCTTTATTTTCCATCAATCTTATGTCGAACTGCTACATTCTTGACAGGATTTACGATATTCATAGATTTCAATCTTTGATAGAACACATGCTCTTCATGCTCCTCTAAATTTCTAGAAATTTCAGGAATTTCTTCTTTGTTTGGAATCTCTTCTTTAGAAGAATTTAAAAGCATTACATTTTCAAGTTTCAATGAATTAGTCAAGCTTTCTCCAAGAATTGAGAGATTTTTATAAACCATAACCTTCATTTCTTGAGAAACCTCTAATGTATTAAGATTGGCTGCGATATCATTAATATGCATTCTAGCAACTTGGGCTACTGAAGATGTTCATTTTACACTGAAAAATTTGTGACTACTTCTGAATAAATAGTCGTTTAGTCCAATTACATGCCCGTCTGATATAGAACTCAACTTTATTAACTTTTTCTTAATCCTAGGGGATCTGAGAGATTTTGGTTTAGCAGCAACATTACCAATCTGAACGTTGCCATTGATTAATCATTTATAGTCACCAAAGAAGTCCTTGTGCTTATTTTAGCTCTCTGGTTGATAAATAAAGTGGAGTATAGTTAGCCATACCAGTGTCAAGATTTATAGAAAGCTCTTTCTGGATTTCAAATTTACCCTCTTTGATAATGTAAAGATAGACATTTTCCTCATTTTCTTTACACAAATATTGGCCTTTCTTGATTTCTTCCTTAACTATTCATTTTACTAACTATTTAAGTTTAATTCTGAAAACTGTACCTTGCTCTTAGATGTTCGAGTAAGGTTCTTAAAGATACCAAAGTTGTTAAGCTCCTTAATCTCTCTTTCAAGTTTAGTATTCTCACTATTTTTGAGGTTTCTATCAAATCCCTTCTTACTAAGTACAGCTAGAGAAGTGTCCTCTACAGTCATGATTGTTGCAGCTCTAGGCTTAGAATTTAAAAGAGCAAGCTCTCCAAACTGATCTCCTGATTTTAAAGTTTTGACACATGTCAGGTAATGAAGAATATAAGTATCTTTTCTCTTATCTTTAAACTTATTTATGGAGAGAGAATACTGTAGATCTATAAATAAATATTAAAGGAGTCTATACCTTAACTCCTTCTGAGTGATATTCTGCAATAATTTATCTACTAAATAAGAATCAACCTCATTTGCTTCTTTAAAAATAGGATTATGGGCAACCCTATCTCAAGGATATGGATAAGAGAAGAATTTAACACCATTTACTGAGAGTATCAATCCTTCATGTTCTTTAATGAATTTAACGTATTCAGCATAAGTTAAGTCAAACTTTTGGGTGCAAGGAATAAGGACATTCACACTTCCCTTTATAATTAAATAAAATTTAGTGCCGATTTCTCCGTAATTAAAGACTATTTTGTTAGGTTTGTATTCTTCAAGAGTCATCACTTTTGCTCACTTTCCTACTAAATCTTCATTTCCTTTTTCAACATATTCTGCGAAAAATGAGAATCTTTTAAGCTCTTTATTTCAGTTTATAGATCTATATATACATTTGTCCTTTGCCTCAAAGAGTTAACAAGATAGAGATAGTTTATGAATAGGAGAGTCCTTACTTGATCATCAGTTCTGTCATTTTCAGGAATCCGAAGAACTCCTATATAGCTTATTCTTGAAAAATACTCAATAAATTCTGTTCAAGTTTAATGTTTCCAATTGAAACTATTTTGCTCAATATGAACTTAGAAGTCAGAGTTTTAATATACTCTAACCTGAAGTTCCTCTCATTATCACAGTTTGATGTAACAATACATGGCAAAACAGACTCTTCTTCAATTGGTTTTATTTTAGGTCTGATTGGAAGTATTTTCTAAAATTGAGCCGTTATAATTTCAGGCAAACTTTGGTGCATATGGGCTTAACCTTTGCCAAAAATAGATTTACTTTTGTAATAAATTAGTATTACTTTAAGCAAATATAAGCCTAAATCATGTATTTCTGTATCCTAATGACTATTCAGTTATTTTTTGAAATTCAGCACATAAAAATGCCTTACCCTATCCTCTGATCCTGCTTTTGCTAAAATATTCTTCCTTACTACAACAGACTCTTTTCTCAATGATTTCACTGACTTTAAGAAGTCCAACTTTGACAGCCTTATATTAAGATTGTTCAAATTGCTGTTCGGAGGGTGGACCTTCTTCTCCATTCTTATTTTATTCTTTTAATTTATTCAATATTTAGATTTAGAAAAGGGGTTTTGGGGTTTTGGGGTTTTGGGG